TGCAAATAAATAAATAAATAAATAAACTGTTGGACTTGGCAACATATTCCTTCATAACATTAAACTAGTCTGAAAAGCAGCATATGTGGTTCTGTTGCTGAACATAATCCAAAGTAAATTTACTTTTTCCTTCCTAGGCTGGAAAAAAGAAACAAACTTTTGTTAAGAGTTTCAACCACACTGATCCTTAGTTTATCGCAGGAGATACCTGCAATAGGTGAAATCCACAAAGTTGTCAGCTTCATTTTTTACAATTACTATAGATGTTAGTAGCGTAAGCAGCTATGAAAACATACAGAATGTCAGTTTCTCAACAGTTTTATTCCAAACCTTTGTAGCTTTGGAGACAGAACAAAAAGCATCCAAATTTGCACAAAAAATTAGCAAAACTGCGAGGCCGAGGTAAACCATGTTATAGCGAGGGATCACTGTATTCACTTTTAAAAATTTTAAGCTGCAATGGCAAATCTGCAAAACAAGCTAGGTTTTAAACACAATCACACAACTCTCACCCCTCTTGTCGGCTATCAGCCCCTGGCTAATCCTGAAATAGGACTACACATAGCCACAGTAAACAAGAGAGTGCTAGACACAGTTGTTGTTTTTTCATATCCAAACATGCATAATGAAGGGAGGACCCATAGTATGTGGCTATTCGGTGAGACCAACAACAGGCAGGTCCAATTATGTGTTTTGGATGGAGCTGTGTTGTTGGTGGAGGCTTTTAGACAACAGCGAGAGAACCACTTCATTAAGTTTTTTTTTTTTGGTTTTGTTTTATCTCCATAAAACATTTGCAGCTATGCTACATTAGAACATTGTTAAGATGAAAAAAATGAAAAAAGCTCTTTTGTTTTGCTTGTTTGTCATTGTAGCAACAACACTTTTATGGTAAGCAATAAAAATATTAAATGTTTGTTTTTGCAAACTAATCAATCAAGTTTTTAAGATAATGATGAAAAGTTATTGATGAGTACATTTGAATCGTCTTGAAATCGTAACAAAAAACGACCCATCTTCTCTTGCCAAACAGCGATGACATCCAAGCTCATCTCTCATAAAATGCATGTTCTCTCTCTCACACACACACACACACGTGCACACGCACACACACACGCGTGCGCGCACACACACACACACACACACACACAGAGCACTTGTAAGTGGATAATGAGGACGACACCTGAGGTGCTGAAATAATTGAAGCTGTTTGATGTCTCATCAAGTACCATTCACACACACACGGTTTGATGCATACACCAACACACTCACGATAACCTTTCTCTGTAATTATGATTAACATTAAAATACATAAACCAGCTGGCCAACACACACACACACACACACACACACACACACACACACACACACACACACACACACACACACACACACACACACACACACACACACACACACACACACACACACACACACACACACAGATTTATATGAAAAATTATTTGTGCTTTTCGGAGACACTCACCAGACAGAGGTATAATAAAGCCTGGTAGTGACATGTTTATATTTCTTTTACGAAACAAATAATAAAAAACCCTTTAAATAAGCCTCCTTTGTTCTGATTCACACATTTGAAATAAGTAGCTTAGAGGTAACGACACATAAAGTGGTTTAATTGCTGCAGCTGTAGAGTGATTAATTTCCACCCGGTCTCAAATGATCATTTCAGTTGGACTACGCTTGATGAAAATTAAACAGACGTACAAATAAAATGTGATTCAGCTAATTTTCTTACAGAATCCGAGCTCTCATTACCTGAGGTCTGTAAAACCTCTGAGCCAAAGACGTGCAACAAACCACCAAGCAAAAACAAAATAAAGGAATGACCAGTAGAAACAAACAAGTTAACAACCAGGCTTTGCACCATTTTGCATTGATGCACTGAGTGCACACTGATTAAACTTGAGTGTTTCAAGCTTGTTAATCACCCACTGAGTTAAATCAGTTTGTTGAAGCAGTGAAACCCATGAAACATGCTGGATAGGGGCCCTCAAGGACCAGGGTTTGACACCAGTCTGACATGCCCATGCTGTCCAAGTGCCAATTAGGAGTCTTCATTCACCCTATAGCACCTAACTTCTCTGTGCTTCATACAACCTTAGGAGAGAATGATGAGTCGTGTTCACACATCTTAAACGTTTGCACCAGCTACACTGTTTTAGCTTTTTACTGCCAGAACATGCATCTTTGAAGATAACTGGCATGATGCATCTCTCCCCATATTTTGACTAGAAACATGTTTTTGTAATCTGACATTGTCATCATCGTTCAATATTCAATCAACCTAAAAAACCAAATGACTTTGAATTTTATCATGATTTTGTTATTGCTGTTTTTTTATTGTTACAGGAGAAACACATTCAGATGGCTGAATGCCTTCAGTAAAGACTGTTGCTGTGTTTATTTAGGAAATAAAACGACTGACTATTCAAATAAATACAACAGATTCATGACTTTAATATATATGTAGATTTCATTTATACAAATACAGTGTTGGACACTGTAGCAACATAATAGTTACTGGCATGGACGCAATTTTCACTTTAGAAGTGGGGGGGGGGGCACGGGGGGGGCACGGGGGGGGGGGGGGGGGGATATCTTTACAGTAGGGATGAGCCGGATACTCGTTTCAGACGAGTATCCAGTACGGATAAAGCATTTTTGACGAATACGAGCATGAAACGAGTAAACCTCGTAAATATCTGTAATCGTGCTGAAGGAAAATCCTCATTGGGCAACTGACTGTCTTCACGCTCTGTGATTGGCCAGTCACATAGAGCGCCCGCCCCCTCCCTACACACAAAACTGCAGCCGGCCAGGAGCGCAGTCCGTCCTGCTCATCCACTCACACACACAGACCGTAACGGATGTCGCTGTGATTGCTTCACTGTTGCTCACGTTTCTTCAGTTTTCCCTAGGTTTTCTTCAGCTCGCCTCTTTTTCGGTTGAATATTTAAAGTTACTTTTTTTGTAACTTACATGGTGCATTTGACAAGACAGAGCTGACGTGCTGCATCAGTCACTCACTACCTCCGCTCTGTTCGTTTTTTTATTTTTTTAACTCCATCTCTCTCCCTCTCACCCTCTCTATCTCTCTCAGACACACACACCTTAATCAACGTTGTTTTGTTTAACTTTGTGTGGGGCAAAATACCTAGAACATTAAGAAAAAAATCAGTTTAGCCAAATTAAAATAAAAAATATACATAAAGTTGTGTCTGGTTCTAGCATTTCATATTTCCTAGTTCCTACTGCATGAGTTCAGATGTATTAATCCATGCACTTAAATATTAATGTTCTGATTTTATTGAAACACTTGTTCTGAAATAGTTCCTTTACTATTGTGATCAAAAATATTTAATCTCAATTCTGAGGCTGCTCTGTAAATAGTTTTAAAATAAACAATACACATATCAACTTCCGATCATTCCATACCAATTTCAGACTTAAAATAATATATTGATGTAAACCACACCCACTTCCGGGTTATGCCACGCCCATTCCAAGTACAGATACAGATAATTTAGTTGGTTGAACAGATACAGATAGTGGTGTACTCGCTCATCCCTAAATATTACGCTATATTAAATTGACACTGGTTGAGCTCTAGGACCAAGCAGAAAACAACTTTTTGTGTTGAAGCCTGTTTCCCATTAAAACACATTGTGTTTGAATGGTAAAAAGTGCAGGGGTCAAAACTTGACTTTGGAAAGGGTGTGTGTTCGTCTTTTTAACACCTGGAAATGTCTGAAATGTCTCCCCAGCCTTCCTATGTGTCAAGGAGTGGTTCATCACTAAATTAAACAAATCAGCTGTGTTTATAATCTAAAACATCCAGGAAGCATGCTGGAGCCAAGCTGTAGTGCAAAGTATGTAAGCTCAATTTATTCTAAGTCCCAACAAATTGGACCGACAGCCGTGAAGCTGCAAGTGGGATATTCTGGCTACAGTGGGGATATGTTTAGAAATATGGGCTGGGTGGTCTTTCATTAACCCTGTAAAGGGTCAGTTTAGCACATACTCGCTCAAGAAAGTGATTTAAAAATATTTAAAAAAAATTGCTAAATATCCCTTTACATTGAACTAGAAAGATCAAAAAAGTTTTGCACCATATTCAATATTTTCCACCTGCGGGGTTTGACATACAACTGACTGAACCCTGTAATTAAAAAAATAATAAAATCAGCCAACCTTTTCATTTGAAGTCAGTGATGTGGAGCTCATGGCTTTATTTGTTAAAACACCAGATATGATGCTGTTGAACCTGAGAAGGAGTCAATAAAAGCAATCATAAATTAAATTGGCTGTACCTTCCCAGAGCTCCAGGATCACGTTGCAGCTTCTGTGACCTCCTCAGCAAACTACAGCAGATCCAATTCTGTTTGAATTCCACTAAAATGAGAGACATAATCATTGAGGGACTATACTGCTTTAATCTTGGGCAGAGGAAGCATCACTGAAACCTGCAAGAGACAAGTAACCTTATGAAGGTGGAGAGACCAAATGGATTTGAAGTGTGTTTCTTTCCTTTCTTTTCTCCTTCTCTCCCCTACTGAGCTGAAAACCCCTGTTGTTATCAGCATGTGGAGCAGAAACGTCCGATTCTCCAAAATTCCTCTCAAAAAGTAACAAAAGCATCAGAATATGAGCATGCTTCTCAGCCTCAAGTGACCAATTCAATTTTGTTCAAGCAGAATGGTAAAACGGTGGCAGAGAAGTTTAACCCTGTTAACAGAGCGGACTGTGGCCGTGTCTAAATGGAGTGCTGTTAGGAAAACTTAAGCAAGCAGCAAGCGCTGAGCTGAAAACCACCAGACACCCTTCGCTGCTGCTCAATAAACCATCATCGGCAAGCATGCACCAGCAGGTATGTGTTTTTATTTTGTGAAGTAAAGATGAACAGACCTGCTTTAGCTAGACTCAACCTCCCAGAGAAGAGCCATAACAACTAAAAAAACAGAACACAAACCAACACTGAGTCGGTTTTTAATGTGCTTTTTTATTCATATAATCATTACAATAGCAGGAAACAAAATAAAGCTTGTCTTGTAACATGATCTCTTACACAGAAGTAAAAGAAAAACAAGTGAAACATCGATACAAAAATAAATGTCATAAATGACACAGAAACACTTCTTACTTACATTCAGTAGTTTTGTTCTCTGAAGAACAAACACATTTACAACATGACTGTACATTATAAGATCTATTTTTAGAAAGGGAAAATTGTTCTAGTTGAAACAGAAGCTGTGTGAAGCATCTAGTGTATTATAGAAGTTAACTTTCTAGTTGTGAGACAAATGAAACAAACAGCAACTTATTAAAATGACTTTGGAGTAAAACACAAATAGGCTGTAGTGGTGAATGTTGTCATGAAAATTATTTGAGATTTATATCTCTTCTGAAGTTTAATAAATGTAAAATGTAATTAATCAATAATGGCTGTGTTTGTTTAGTTGCATTTCATTTGGTTTTTGATAATATTATTATTAAGACTGGAAATTAAATTATGATATTTTGTAAATATCTTATTATTTATTTATAATTGAAGTACATATAAATATTTGGGAGGATTGCTGTACAAAATGCAACTTTTCACTTGGAGGTTGTTTCAATTGTTACTTAGAACAGGTTGTGTGTAAATCAAAACTGTTAATAAAGTTTATGCACATTCTAGTAAACGTGTTGATTTCTCTCAAAAAGTGAACTGTTTATGTCTGTATTCTTTGACAATTATCTTTTTATTTTCAAAGTAGGTTGTGTTTGTAACGTCAGACTGAACTAGAATCATTTACCCCCAGATATGTCTAAAATCACACCTGTAATAACTTGGGACACTTGTGAGAGGAGATCTGTCTGATTTAAGTTTAGATCATGTTCTGAAATCCAGTAACAGGAAAGCAAAGCTCTTAGACTTGTGACAAAGAGAAACCTTACAAATGTTTTGAGACACTCTGTAATGCAGTTTTCATTCCTAGTTATCCCAGTAAGACAAGTTTTAAATATATGTTTTATGCATTTTAGCAAGATGTGATTCCTTTTGGTAAAATTATTCAATCATGACAAGGAAAATCAAACTTTCACCAGGAGAAAGACATAAAAGCTGTCCTTTGAGCCAAAAGTCCTTTTATTGAATTTCATATATTGTAATAAAAATATTTATTTATTTAATACCACAAATATCAGGACAAAGTTGTGGATTTTAGGAAATGATGGACACAGTGAACATAAATTCATCAAATTAAAAAACAACATACAGTACAGAGGCATCAGTAATGAAATTATCATTTGGAGATTGCATCATGCAGGTTTAAACCCATCGAGTAGCCATTGCCAGAAAATGCTGTGTAAGCAAAACTTCACACATTCCCTGTTTTAATGTGCTGTGTGCAGCACAACCAGCTAAACACAACTTTTATTTTATTTTTACCATTTAAAATGGCTGCAAAGACTTTTGTTTACTGCTGCAGAAACATCCCTATTAACTCCAAGCAAAGCAGCCGTTGACCACAAACATAAACTTTTCTGCACTCGTTAAAACCTGGGAAGAAATGTCCACAGACTAAATCTGCTGAATCTACAGTGTGGAGGACTGTGTAAAACATTTAAAAATGCATCTACTTCACATGTAACATCACGCTTACAGGAGGATCCAGCCCTCGTCATGGCAACCAATACCAACAATACACAAGCAAACACCAAAATGTTTATCCTGCAGTAAATGTCTTTATTGTCACTTTTATTACATCTAATCTGGGTTTATTGGCGTTCTTGCAGTTTCGTTGAGGAAATGAGCAAAAGTGCTCCCATAATAACCCTCTCCAGTGATTTACTTGTTCAGTGCAAAGCCAAGTGCAGACACTCTTATCTGTCAGACAATGAAATGGTAGGTAAAACGTGTGCTACACATTTGTTTAAACATGTTTCAAATGCATCCTTGTCTCTGGGGAAGTAGATGTTCCCCGGTTGAAGCTTGGAGAGTCTTATTTTGTCTCCTTTTGATTTCCAAGCTGACAAGTCAGTAATACTGTTCATATTTTCCCAACCCAGTGGCAGTGTCTCTTGTACAAAAGATGAACTTCAGCTGAACTTTTCACGTAGAGATAACTGAGCAGTCTTGAATTACCTCCGTGTGCTCTGACACAGTGAGGCAACGTAACTCCAAGAAGGTAGATGAATAAAGATGTATGAGCCATCGTGCTTTTGATTTTGTTGGAGTGGGAGGAAAAGATGATTCTATCTTAAGAGCGAGTCCTTGCCTCAGTTACTGTAGACACCCATCTGTGAAGCTGCCTTAGAGTGGAGGAGTAGTGGATAGGCGGTGTCTGGTTGCACAAGTCCAATTCAAAGTTGAAAAAACCTAAATCACTACACAACACAGGTTTCTCCTAAAACATGACCTCCTCACAGCTTCCATAATCACTTCCCACAATGCTCGACCCGTCGTAGCTGCGACAGTTCTGCCTTGCAGGTCGTATTTGAGGCTGGGCGGGGTTGGGTGCCTGGGACAGACTGGCCTGCTCTGCATAGGATGGCATGGCCACACTTAGACACATGCTGAGTCTCTTATAGCCTCCCGAGACGTTGTCCAGGCTGCGAGTCTGCTGTGTGGGGTAGAAGCTGATAGCAGTGTACTCGTTTGGGCACTGAGAGCTGGGAAGAGGAAGCCCGTCTGGACCCAAGAAGTCATCCAGATTCTGGTTGCTGTAGCAGGGTGGAAGGGGTGCGCGACGGTCACAGCGATCTAGTGGGAACGGGAAACCCCCAAACCGAGAGTTCCTACGTGAGTCTGCGGTATTGGTGGAGTAGGTGTCCTCTACGATGTCAAACTGGGGGAAATCCTGGACAGATGGACGCCCATAGTAGTCTGGGTCAGCTGGGTAAACTAAGAACAGATGAAGAAAATACCAGGATTAGAATTATTTGTGTTAAAACATGTGAAAAGCCTCTATGCCAAAATCCTGATCAACACAGGAAATAGAAGTGTTGAATCTCAAAAAGGCAGCTGATGATGTTTTTGACCTTTTCTCTCTGTGTGTGTGTGTGTGTGTGTGTGTGTGCGTGCGTGTGTGCGTGCGTGCGTGCGTGCGTGCGTGCGTGTGTGTGTGTGTGTGTGTGTACAAATAATGACAATGGTGGTCAAAGTGGATGCCCAGCCAGAAGCTGGCAGCGGGATCTTAAACACTTGACATGACCTGTCATCGGGTCTATAGAGGATTGACTGGATGAACATTTACAACAGACTTCGTTTATCAATGTATTTGACGCTAGCCCAATTAAAAAGGTTTTTCACAGCCAACTGGTTTTAGAAAACACCTAAAATGCCATAACTCAGTCTATTTTATAGACATTGAGCTGGATTTTTATGTGGCTATCTGAGAATGAAAATGATTGTGTGATCTTGCAATATAAAAGAATTGTACGTGCTATTTTCAAGTTTTCCCCTAAATAGTTTTTAAATCGTAATTTGTCAACATGAGGTGGTCTAAGTATAAAATTCTATCACTAATAGCAACAACTATCATCTTTAGCTTAAAACCTGTTCATAGCTGTTCATCTAAATAGAAAATTATGACTTTGAGTCATAAATTTGATTCATGAATTGTGTCCTGTTTCCAAAAAATTATGCAACGGTGGCATAAAGGAGGTATGGGGCAATCTCTGCGCTGTCACGGACTTCTGTTTATCTTGTACAAAGCGTGCTGTTTATTGCGATCAAAGTCATGCTCATTATGTTTTTTAACAAGCCGCTCCTAAAAGTGTCTGTCCTCCAATGTCCCCATGCAGTGATCTGAGCTCCAGCTCAGCAGAGAGAAGCTCCTGGAGCTCTGCATCGCTCCTGCTTATCATCTCAACTGGTTCTGTTAACAAAAGCAAAACTTGCGGCCTATTGTTATTTTCATTTTCAATATAGTTGCTGGCCAAGGCTCGGCATCAACTCCCATGTGACAATGACACCTCCCTCTGTTGCACCAAAGCATAATATGTATTCACAAGTCAGGTGTTGTGGCAATATTACTAACAAGCTTGGCAGAACGAATGTCACAAAATTCCGACATCGCCATGCTGCCAAGGCACATTCATAAGAGACACCATGGCAGCAGTATTACGCTGATTGTGGTGTGTCTTCTAAAAAGGGCTACCAACTCTGCTTTGCAACGCTGCTGTTTTATCTTCACACATAACAAAAGCCTAAAGGAGTGTAACTGAGTTGCTAAAGTTAACGATTAGCCTCTACTAGCTGAGATGTTCTCTGCTGTTTCCAAGACGCTAAAGCATTGACAGCCTTGGCGTGGAGTGGTCAGGCTTTTCGACCATATATTTTTTATCAGAAGCTAATGCAGGATATAGGTGTAAGAGACTATTTTCACGTACAGCCTGCATGTTGAACCCAGAGTGAGCGATCATTTTCAAAAACAACAAGCAAAACATGGTTGAAGGTGAAGGACCTCTTTAAGAAAGTCCTTAAAATGGCTGAAAATCACTTTTTAGACAACAGACATAAAATGTCAATACAGCTATATTCAGTAAACTATTAACTACCAATAGCGTTAAAGTAAAAGTAAGATAATAAAATGGAAGTTTTGTACGCGATTCTACAGAAAGATTTTTGCCCCAGACCCATAAAAAGCACACCACATCTCAGTCACAGCATCATCTGGTAATAATCATGGAACTCCTTGCAGTACTCTGCATGTTAAAGCCACCTAACTCTTTTTTCAGGATCCTTAAATCATCACTTATGCCACTGAAACACCCCCATCATTAAGACTCTCACAGCTGCTGTGTCACATGCAACATTGGGACAAGTTGAGGCTTCTGAAAAGTCTGTGACAATTTGCATGTTAAATCCTTCACCACAGTTCCCTCAGGTAGTGTGGGTTTGAGCTGAGAGAGCTCAGTGTGAAGTCTCCTCATTTTTCCTAAAGGCAAAGCCACAGAGAAGCACTTCTAAGGACTGCAGCAGAAAATCCCGTTCTTCACATTTCAATAGGAACCTCAAGAAAAAGCTCTTCTAGCTTTTGTTTATGTTAGGTTCTTTTTATGCACCCGCTCTTTGAAATCTATCATAAACTAAACCCACAGCCTGCAAACGTTGTCGTGAGTGTCTTTGTCCTGAGCATCAATGCAAACAACATATTCTTGAACTAAATTAAAACAAAAACCACATCCTGGGAACAAAAATGTGATTTAAATCTCAAATGACTTTTGGGTCCATATTTGCACAATTTTCATTTAGAATTATTTTATACAACGTTGTTCTGTGCATTTTTGTCATTCAAAACTTCAAAGCAAAGAATAAATACAAAAGAAAACTTCTGGGGTAACAGATTATTTAAAAAGAAAGATTTAGGCCATTTCTTTTAACTTTAACAGTCACAGTGGACTCTACTGTTTCCTGTTTTTCTTTCATTATTTTCTGCTGTTATAAAAAATCTAACTGAAAGTATACTCCCATCTAAATGTCCCTTTTACAATTTTCTGTTGAATAGACAATTTTTTGGTGTTTTTTGTAAATGTTTTTCAAAATTAAACTAAAAGAGGACTATTATGAGTTCAGCTGCACACTTTACAACAATTAACTTTATTGAGATTTCCTTTTTCACACCCAATACTAATAAAACAAACAAAAAAAGCCCACTAAAAGAGAAATGATTTTGAATAATTTTACAAGTGTTTTTTATTATGTGAAGAAATTAAAGTAATCTCATAAAGAAAATCTATCTATCTATCTATCTATCTATCTATCTATCTATCTATCTATCTATCTATCTATCTATCTATCTATCTATCTATCTATCTATCTATCTATCTATCTATCTATCTATCTATCTATCTATCTATCTATCTATCTATCTATCTATCCATCCATCCATCCATCCATCCATCCATCCATCCATCCATCCATCCATCCATCCATCCATCCACCCACCCACCCATCTATCTATCTATCTATCTATCTATCTATCTATCTATCTATCTATCTATCTATCTATCTATCTATCTATCTATCTATCTATCTATCTATCTATCTATCTATCTATCTATCTATCTATCTATCTATCTATCTATCTATCTATCTATCTATCTATCTATCTACCCACCTACCCACCTACCTACCCACCTACCCACCTACCTACCCTACCTACCTATCTAAGATTGCAAGTATTTAATGGAAAATTTGATTGCTTTTAATAATGCTTATTTGTTAAAGTGTGAGAAAAGACAGGTTTCCAGCAAAGTAAGAAGACTCCTTTGGTCCTCAGTCTTTGCTGTATTTGGGCAGCAGGTGTAACATGCAAGGCTAAAGCTGATATGGAGAATCAGATCCACAATATAAAGTTTGAACTATTCCCTTTAAGTCACAGATACAGCACCAACAATCAGGTGTAAAATAATGAAACTGTCATTCATTCAACATGCAACAACATTTTATGTCATATTGAGGGAAATCAGTGCCAAATCTTATACAATAGTGATATTTTTTTTCATGACCTCTGAACATTTGCACTAGTTTTCTCAAAAAACTGAAACAGCAGGCAGAAGTGTGCACTTGTAACTAGATGTGACACTTTTGTTTTCAGGGTCGTGTAGAGCATCTAACATGTTATATTGTTATCTAAACATCTGGAGTGCATCTGCATTTTGAATCCTAACTTTTGTACGATCTGGGTCCTTGGCTTTTGCTGCTGCACTTGCTTGTCCCCCAATCTCGGGACGCTTGGGCTCGAAATGTTAATAACTGTAGGACATGTATAGGTCAGAATAGATCACAGTGTTCCCACGGCGAACTCCAGTTAGTATTGATATTTTCTTTAAAGGTTTAGATTTTTGTCATTTAACTTATCTAAAGAGTCTCCTTTTAAATGGGACAACCAACAAACCAAGAACACACTCACCAACTAATACCTCAAACCTCCTAATAACAGAACCTGTTTTAAAAAGGAAAGAAAAACTGAAAATAATATCAGAGGAAAAATTCTGAAGCATGCAGTGACAATGCTCTGTGACTGACAGAAACACCCTGCAGCAGTGTTTCCTGCCCTTCATCCTGGAATCTCAGACTAACAAGTTGGAAATAAAACACAGCTTGTTCAAATACAACCGCATTTAAGAAAAGCCCTCTTGTTGTCTCCTGGGTTATGGAGAATACCAAGCAGGAAAGCATCTGTTTGTACTGTGAGAAAGGCACACAGGAAACACTGGCAACTAACCAATAAACACCAAGCATCTTTGTGGGAGGAAGAAAATGAGGCTGAGGCAGATGGGTAAGGAAGAGGAATTAAAGTACGGTGGGAGACAACATCACAGGGTGAAGGACAAGCAGGTGAAATATGACAGCAGTCTGACTGAGACAGAAACAGTGAATGAAAGCAAATGTGATAAGGTGAGTGAGTAATGAGGAGAGATAACAACAGACAATGAAAACTAATGAAAGACGAAGACAAAGTCAAAGACTGAATGTTTTCAGGTTTGAGTGATGACTTCACTTTAAATCTACTTCCATCAGTTAGTCATTGTTCACTCTGTCTCTAGGAATTTACTTTTACACACAGTAACAGCTGAACCGCTCTACTGACTCCTACTGCAGAGCTGGGTGTCAGATCACCCTGCAGAGAGATTACAGCTCGATCCTGTTGCCTGCTTGAACTTACAGGTGCAACTTGGCAAATTGGAATATGGAGCAAAGTTTCATTTATGTCAGGGATTCAACTTAAAAGGTGAAACTAATCCATGAGATAGATTAGTTATATGCAAAGCCAGATAATAAAATCCTTTGTTTATTATAATTGTGATGATTATAGCTTACAGCTGAAAACCCCACATTCACAATCTCAGACTAGGGCTGCAGCTACCGAATATTTTTGTAATCGAGTACTCTAT